ATACTTTCCATGTTTAGTTATGAACCATCATTATTTATTTTTATGGGGGTTGAATATTAGATGCTTATAACTGACCAAACTGAACAAGAAATCAGGAAACCCACGTTCATGATTAAGAAAAAAGTCAGATTAAACCAAATATCAACTCTATTGCCCAAACCCCAAGAGGTAAATATAAACATACATATTATAAGCTATTTCATACATGTGATACTATCAAGTGATCAGTTTAAAGTACTATAAAATCATCCTATTTGAGGCATAATTGAGAATTAAATATGAGTAACTCTTCCAATTGAAATTCAATTTTAGGTTGCTACATTACAAGAGATTAGTCCCTTCTATTATACCTAATCCGCATTGGTCTAATTATTATTGTTAGGTGAATATCATTTTCATTAATCATTAGCACATACCTTCTTTCAAACCCATTGAGGAGTGCATGCATCTTGGTTGCTTTTCCTTCCTTTGAAGCATTATCTCCTTCCAATATAAAAAGACATAAACCGTCCTGTCATGTATCCATATACACAGTTAGTTATTACAAGCTTGATCTTCCAATTTGCTTCCTCTTTTGATGGTCTCTGCAGATTGAATAATAATGGGTAGGATTAAACTAGGATCTTACTCCCTCTGCTTTGTTATATTCTTGTGCCTTCATCATCATGAGTTGCTTTCTGGGGTCACTGCTGCTCGACCTCTCAAGATTTTGCAGTTGGAAACTTCAAATGAGAAGACGCGGACAAACCCTAGCTTGGTTTTGTGGACAAGGAAGACGTCAGGGCCTAGCCGAGGAGGGAAGGGTCATGGATCTCAAGCTCGCCTCCTACTTAAAGACTCTGGTCCAAGTATTGGCATAGGACACTAGACATGCGTGTAATATGATGCTATGTACTATCTCCGGTCCTAATTATAAAGCCTCATATATAAACTAGAAATGAGGTCTTATAATTTAGACACCAGAGGTAGTACATATAAATATATATATATATATATATATATATCATCCTTACCAGTGTCCAATCCAGGTGGTGATGATCTTTCCATCCGGATCAAAAGGTAGTATGGAGTTTTTTCAACTAAAAAAGGTATCAATTTAGAAGATATTTATATTCATATTATGGCCCCAAAGAAACAAGAAGATATTTATATCGTTATTACTTTTGCAAGTTGTTATATGTATATATTTGTGATGTGATTAATTTATGGTCATAGGTGATATAAATTCTTTAAAAAACTGAGAATTAAGTGAAAAGATTGTCAGAATCAGAGTTAGAAAGCACAAATGATAAAATTGACTATTAACAGTGAATGATCAAATAAGTATGGCATATATTTGATCTTTGGAATTTGTGTATATATCCTTAGTCAACCCGTTAGAGCACATCACCACCCCTGATGATGGCACACCAAATACATGTTGTCCCAGAAAAAGGTGCAAGTGTAATGACATTAGACAAAATAATATAGAAGAAGAAACTTGCATTCTTGGTATGTATACTTCTTTCAATTAAATTAAAGTGAGTGGATTTTAAATTTAAAAATAAGATATTAAATAATAAGTGGGTGTCTGAGTAACATACTTTTGTTTTGTTAATGTGGGTCATACAGTGATTAATGGGCATTTAAGTTTTTCCAATACTATCTTCGGTCTTTAATATAAAAGCTAGTTTGACATTTAACTTGATTCTAAATATAAGACTCCAGTCTATTTTGTTTCTTATATTTATCTATTTTTTTCAAAGTAATCCATGCAGTAATAGTTGCATATATAAAGGTTTTATCAAATAGTAGTTATAGCTAATACATATTATTAGCAAGAATATCCTAGAAAAAACAACATATATTTATTACAAATAACTAATTTAACAAACTTTTTATTCAACTAACTCTTATGCTCCTCCAGTTCTTAATATAAGACATAATTCTTGAGTTAATTTTGGTCCTAAATATAAGACTTATTTTTTATATTTATCAATTTTTCTAAATTATCCCTATGAAAACTCCCTCAACCATAATCAAGTAAAAGATGACAAGAGGATATTAAGGAAGATGATTATGGTGTTTTGGGATAAACATGTTATATTTTTATAATTAACTAATCTATCTAATATTTTTAATCTAATTAAATAGTTAAATAGGTTTTATATTAAGAATCAGAAGAGTATTATAAATATTAGATTAATGTTTAGGAATACAATTGACACAAAAGGAAACGTGAGGCCCATTGTGTATGCCATGCAGTCATGGTCCAGAACCCCACAACGTGGACCATCAAAGCCGAGTTTACGCGTATTAAGCTCCAATATTGTCAAAAACTGCTTTGACTTTAACGACTTCATGTGCTTTTATTAGGGGTAGAAAAATACATTTTTATCCGAAATTAACTTATAATTATGATTTTGAGGATAAATTTTTTTGTAATAGATTTGTAAGGTTGATTTTGACATAATCAAAAAACAAATTGAAAAGTCAAAATTATTATTTTTCTTAAAAATATCAAAACACTCCTAAATTGAAGTTATGTATTTGAGATTGTATGTATAGCCATGAATCACAACGTCTTCCATGACACTCAGTATTCTTTTCTTTCTTTTTTTTTTTTAACAACCAATTAAAACGATATCAATATATCATTTACAAGACCGTTGGCAAAAAAAAAAAATCATTTACAAAACAAAACATAAACAAAGAGTTTATTAAAAGAAGAAAAAATGTGGATGTGAAAAATTTTTATTTTTTCAATGTTTACTTCAGTAATAAACTAACAAGGACGAATATTATAATTATAAGAGCAGAATACTCTAACCTCTTTTACATTTTACTCTAATTACATCAACTTCTTCTATATTTTGAAAATATATACTTATGTCCAAATCGTTAATTCCTTTAATAATGTTCTAAAAAAATAATTTTTTTAATTAAAATTTATATTAAGATACTTTTTATTTACTAATTTACCCTTTGTAACATTAAATCCCTAAAATTTGGCTAAATAATTTTTTCCTTTTTCCTTAATTTTATTTTTTTATTTTTAAAAATAGCAAATTGTTTAGTGTTTTTATCATATTAGAATGAAAAATTAATTAATTTAATTAATGTAGATTTAAAAATTTTGAATTAAAATTTGATTAATTTTTTAAATAAATATGTGATAAAATAGATGTTATAAATGTTTCTAACAAAATTTTTATTTTAAAATTTTAAATTATTAATTTAAATGATTTCTGTGGTCTCTCAAACTTAGACAATTTATATTATACGATGAAAAAATATTTACTTAATATATTTTTTATTATGCATTAAAAAAATTAAAATTATAAAGTTTTATAATATAATAAAAAAATTAAAATTATAAAGTTTTATAATATAATATTAATAGATTTTATTGTATTAAAAATTTGAAAATACATGTATTAAAATTTTTTATCAAAAATTATTTTTTAGAAAATATAAATATTTATATAAATTTTATGTTAATGAAAGGTATTTTGGCTAAAATAAAAATTTAAAAGCCAAATTTAATGGTTACTTAACTATTAAATAGATAGAAATAAAATCTCAAATATCTATGAGGGGTTTGTATAATATGTATTTTAATTTTAAAAGAGATATATATATCTTCAAAATAAAAAAAAATCTGTAATTAAAATAAAATAGAAGAATAATTAAAGTATTTTACTCTAATTATAAATTTCTCAATCACTACCAGCAACAAGTCAACAACCTCACCAACGGCTCCCATACTTTTTTTTTTTATTCGAAAAAAGAAGCCAGGTCCATTAAGGTCGTACGTCCAGTACAAACGCGGTACCTTATTCCCTTTCGCCCTTCATTCTTTTTTTTTATGCCAAAATAAAATGCAAATTGGAAAGAACGATTCCCCTTCTCATGATAGCTCAGCTATATTCGGATTCAATTCAATCCAAAGTTCCAAACTAAAATAGTTTACTCATTTTGTCCTAATCCTTAATCAAGTTAACAAGAGCACCTTGCTGAAACCACAACAATGGTTTAAAAAATATTACTTATTATATACTTAATATAATACTCCTCCGGTCCTAATTATAAGACTCAATTGACTTATTTAAAGAGATTAAGGAAGTAAGTTAAGTTGATTATTTATATAAATAAGTGTTGTCATTCCTAAAATATCCTTGCTAATTAAGTATATGGTTTAAACTATCATTATTAGAAGGATTATCTTGGAAAAAAATGCATAAATATAAGAGACAAAATGGATTGGGTCTTATAATTAGGACCAAATAAAAAGTCAATTGGGTCTTATAATAAAGACGGAGGAGTAGTTAATATAATAGTTGATTACTAATTTGAGTAGATTAAAAATGTTAATCAACTGAAATGGTATGATATATTTTTTTTTCTAAAACAACCAAACATCTTTTCTAATTTTCTCCCTCCCTCTCCTAATTAATTATTAATTATTATTAGGAAATATTGGGCTCTATTCAGGAAAAATTAGTAAACAATAAAATAAGTCTTAAACATTTCACCCAAAAAAAAAGGCTTACATATATAAGATTAATATTAAATCTCCAATTAATTTCTACATTAAATACCAAAGAAATATTGTTTAATACCATCCTTATTTCAAACATAAGACAATTTTAATTAAAAATAGATAAATAATTAAGATTATGGATGTTTTAAGTGAAAAAATTATCAATTATTACATGAAACCTAAAAATCAACAAAAAGATAAACCATTTTTTCTTAAAATTTCTTACTCATACAGATCAACTTTAAATGAGTTAGTCTCAATAAATTTTTCTGTTCTTTCCCTATTCTTTGTACTTCTTTTAGAAGAATCTAATTGCAGTGGGTAACTTTAAAAATGTCTTTAAAAAAAGTTCATCATACACAAAGTCGGCCTCAAAATTCCTTTCCTTCTGATCCAACTTTAAAATATTAAAATCTTTATAGCTACATATGATATCAAAATTCTAACTAGTACCATGGCGGAAGGCCCACATGAAGAATGACTATAATTTTTAAATTAAATTATAAGTATTACTTAAAATGACCATTAGAGGAGCCGGTTTAAAGAATCACAATAATGCAGTTAATCTCAAAGAACACTCCCCTTGCTCCCACTCCTATAGATTTCTTCCTGTCAAAATTTTTAAACCATGTTCGTTGGATGAGACCATCCCAAGTGACTTCAAACTTCGAGTTCCAAGTTCTAACCCTACCAATTCCGTATGTACAGTCCCAAAATTAATGCTCACCTCGAGACAACAAGAAAAATCAGTTCGCCTTTTCAGTCTTCAGGACCCATGCCTTCCATTATCAAAACTCATTTGGCACAGTACTAGTATTTTTGAAAATCCAACCATCTCTCACAACGCCGCCATGTAATTTCTCACTTCATCCCTTATCATCTCCTTCATCACTGCCATTAACTCTGGCCCAAATGTGGTGATTCCACTGTGCCTCGTCTCCGTTGATAATAGTATTGATGTTGTTAATGCCTTCTCGCGCTCTGCGATAGGGCCTGAATCTTTAACCATCCATAACTCCTTCGACTTGGCTCCAGGAAGAGACAGAGTGAGTTCTGTGGAGAGATCGTTGTTCAAGATCGCATCCGGCGGTCTCGATTCAGGCCGAACCAGAGTCGGAGGATCAGAGACTACCTGATGACCCGAATCGCTTACATCAGATCCAGTTTGGCTGCTCGGGCTGTAACAATGACCCGCTAATACCGGTGGAATCGTCAGCGATCGGTCTCCGGTGGCCGGCTTCTTCGCTGGTAGGAGCGATGGATCTTCGACGTTGTCGACCAATGATGAGTACTTGCGCTTCAACGTAGAGTTCCAGTGGTTTTTGACGGAGTTATCCGTACGGCCGTTAAGGAGCTTGGCTATGGTGGCCCATTTGTTGCCGAACTTAGCGTGTGCCTTGACGATGATCTCGTCTTCCTCGGGAGTGAAGGCACCACGCTCTACATCCGGTGAGAGCTGGTTGCACCACCGGAGCCGGCACGACTTTCCAGATCGTCCGGGGATCGCCTTGCTTATCACCGACCAATTTCGAGCGCCGTGCTGTTGCACGTGCTGCCTCAACAACTCGTCCTCCTCAGGGCTCCAGGGACCCTTAACCCGATCCACTTCTCCCTGCAACGCCTCCATTCTCTTATATTCGTCGTTGATCAACCCTAAGCAAAACCTAAAAGCCACCAGAATCTCCAATGTCGAAGAAAATAGCAAGTTAAATTAAATTAGGATGGGACACAAAAAAAAAGGAAAGAGAGAGACTGGAAAGAGAGAAACGGTTCAGCGGGAGACTCCTCTGAATGGGAGGATAGTAGAAGAGGAATGAGAAGGGTTTATAAGAAGAGGGCAAGTCAATACCTGACGCAGCCGGTTAACTGAAACAGGTAAGAAACGAGATGTGAACCGGTGATAGTGAGTTACCGGTTAGTATAGTTTACAGCTGGATAACGACCAGGTTTGGCCACGCGGGGCCGTGGGCAACGAGGGTTTCTGAGAATCCAACGAAATACTCGGCGGAATGAAACGCACCGGAGGGGTTCGTTGGAAGTTGAGGGATTTGGAGGATCCTGAATATTTGAAAAACTCGCGAAAAATTCCGTTTGGGTGTTTGCAAGAAGAGATATTTTGGGGATATTTTGAGGTAGAACTGTTCGGGATAAGCTCAGCTCGAGTGGGGCCAGGCTGGAGAGCATTACGTGAAGGATTTTAATTTTAGTTTTGGTGAAGAGAGAGAGAGAGAGAGAGAGAGAGATGTAATATAAATAGATAGGTATTAAATGGAATTTTTGAGAAGCACGAAAGTGATGACGTGGAGAGGAAGAGATAGGGAATATAACTGACAATTTGTCAGTCACAGCTGGAGACTGAAGGCAGGTGACGACTTGACGAGGTTGTAACGGGCTACTCCCACCGACACGAGCCGGTCACCTACCCCACGAATTTTCAGTAATTTCACCTTTTGTTCCCTCCTATAAATTCCGGACTTCAAACGGAACGGAACTGCACAATTTGGAACCGCCAAAACTAACTCCTTTCCAATTTCCTTCTGCAAACCGGCTTTCCCCATAACACAGGCTAGGTTTGAAATTCTTCTTTCCTCGTCCAATTACTATAGAGGAAAGTAGCTTCTGATGCATAAATCTTCAATCATTAACACATTTGAAATACACACTCACCCCGCTTAGAAATTAACATTGGTCATCAAAATTGAGCGAAAGTGGAGCGTTGTTGTCACCTGACTACTTGGTGGAGAGCTTCACGTTTGGATGAGAATGGCTCCAAGCTGATGATTCGGATTGGGCAGCTTTTGAAAATACAAATTAACTTGTGATGTTGAAATTTTGTTTATATAGAGTAGTTCAAGTGGGTGATAATTAAAGTGTTTAACAAAGAATTAAAACTTACCCCAGCATCACTTTGGCAGGCATGTGAGGCGGGTGTTGGAATCTGGCCATAGTGCGTGTGAAGGAAACAAACAGGTAAACGACAAAGTCTTTCTTTAAGGAACACATGTTGAGTAATTCAAAGTGATAATCATGGCCTTCGAATGGAGTGTTAAGGAACAAAATCACAGGCCACAATTATATAATTAGCAGAATTAGCACGTGGTTGAGAACCGTCCAGGATGTTTCATCAACAAATTTAATATTTGGAGCATAATAATATAATCCATCATCCCCCATGTTGCCGCTTTCATTAGCTCTTGAACTCGGAGACATGCTCGAAGCTTCCACACCCCGGTGATTCTCTCTTTTGCTTAGATGCAATCTTGTATTCCATCATATTTTTAATATAAAAAGTATTTCATTCATTTAAATGGATTAAAAAACAAAATTAATTGATTAATTATAACAAGTGTGATAGAATCTCTTTAAAATATTCTCATAAAACATTATACTACCTCTATGTCTTAATACTACATCTAAGAGCTAAGTGACTAATTTGAGTAGATTAAAAAAATTAATTAAATTAGTTATTTGTAATAAATAAATTTTATCTTTTCTAAAATATTCATACTAATCAAGTATATTGATTAGAATTACTATTATCACAAGAACCATTTTGAGAAAAAATAGATAAATACGATGGACAAAGTAGATTGAGGTCTTATGTTTAGAATCAAAATAAAAGTCAAACAAGTTCTTATATTAAGGACCGGAGGTAGTATAAGAATTAGTGGACTAATTTGAGTAGGTTAAGAAAATTAATTAAGTTAGTTATTTGCAATAAACATGTATTGTCTTTTTTAAAATATTCTCACTAATCAATTATAATGGTTAGAACTACTATTATTAGAAGGACTACCTTGAAAAAATAGATAAATATGAGAGACAAAGTAGATTGAGGTTTTATATTTAGAACAAAAATAAAAGTCAAACAAGTTCTTATATTTTAGACAAGAGGTAGTATTATATATTAATTTATAAGTCAAATCTGACAATTTAACTAGCTTGTACTGCCTCCGGTTCTTAATATAAGACCTTGGTTGATTAATTATAAGAGCTAGTTAATTAATTTGAGAATATTAAAGAAGTAAGTTGAGTTAGTTATTTGTCCTAAATAACTGCTGTTTTTCCTAAAATATCTTTGCTAATCAATGTATTGGTTAGAACTACTATTGTTAGAAAGATTACTTTAAAAAAATATATAAATATAATAGACAAAGTGGATTTGAGTCTTATATTTAGAACCAAAATAAAATTTAACCAAAGTCTTATGTTAAGGATCAAAAGCAGGAGTATATTAATAATATGTTTGGCTCAGCAAAGGTACGTCTTTTGCCACTAGAGCAAATATCATTTGGGACTAGGAAAATTATATGTTAATTATTCAACTAGTTGGTTTAGTCTTGGATTTTTATGAAAAAAACTATATTAGTTATAATAATATATTTATATGTAATTTTTTGCTCACTGTAATTCAATTAAATATTTTTATGCCTATACATCATCTTTTTTTTTCATTACGTACCAAAAAAATTCATATCATCATCGTTACATTATATTCCATTTCATTTTATTATATTTCCTCAGATTCACTAAACAAAATAGGGTGTAAGAATTGCATGAAGTAGTCCTTAACAATTGTATTATTTATTGATAATATAGTTCTTTGAGTTGAGTGTTAATAATTAAGTTCAAGAAAAATTGCATGGCATTTGACATGTTAGATCTAATTTTGAATATTTTAAGATGATAATGTAATCAAGTAAAACTTACAAAAATAAAAGTAGTATGCCAGCTTGACTGTAACAATATACAACCGATTAAACTTGTTTGACCTAGAAGCAAATAAAAAAAAAAAACTCCTAACAATTATTGTGAATGATCTACTCCTTCCATTTCATATATAATCATTTTACCTATTACATGCCCATCAAGAAAAATGGTTAATTGGCTAATCGCCTATTTTTTTACTTTATCTTTTATTCATACTACCAATGACTATTACAAGTAATTTTCATAGGTTTATTTTGATAGTTTTGACGGGAAAACATGGAGCTACTTTACAAAAATGACATTGTAATGTGAAATGAAAGTTGTATAATAACAACTATAATTACTACACTAATTCAAACCAAACCAAACCAACTTAATAAATAACTATCAAGAAATTATTAACATATTTATCTAATAATTTTATGATTGTTAATTAATTAGATTATTATTGAAATTGTAAGTGAGGTTAAATTAAATATTTTTAACTCTTATATGTCTCATCTATATATATATATATATATATATATGCATGTTTTTTCTTATCATTAACTCCAAAAAATGATTTCAACACATATTTACATTATCACCTCATTTATATGTATTTTTCACTAAAAAATTTAATGACAAGTAAATTTTGTATTTTAACTCTCATAAACAGTACCATTCCAACTTAAAAAAATTGTACTCAAAATATTATATCAATAAATTTTATGTAAAAAAACAAATAAATTAGATCTAATTGAGGCTCAAAATCCTTTTTATTTTTTTCTTAGAATACCGTATTTATCTTTTGATAAAAAATGCATGGTATCAGAGCCAATTGAGGCTTAATTTTATGAGGGAGTCCCGGTTAAATCCAATTTAAATACCTAAATTTAAATTCAGGCTTATATTTTTAACAAATTTCTAATCAAGCCATGAGACCTAATTAGAAAATTTTAAATATTATTGAATGATCAGAATGCCCCTCTTTGATAAAAAGAAAATGATTGTTTTACCCCTCCTAAATAATTCATCTTCTCTTATGATTATTTTTTAGGATTAGAAAACACATAAATAATTTTATAATATTTAAAATTTGTATATATAAACAAAACCTTCAAAAATATTTTAATCCAACATTTTAAATTATAATATCTTCAGGTTGTGAATATTCATTTTTTAGATTTTAAAATATCTTAATTACAAGCAATATTTTATATTAAGTTGTTGCAAATTAACTTTTCAGGTTGCAATCCAATGTTTGCTTAAATAAATAAAACTAACTTAAATTATAAGAACATACTATTAAATATTTTTTGTAATTATAATATTTTAAGATCTTAAAATAAATATTTACAAACATAAATAAAAAATATTTATTTTAAGACTATTTATGTTGAAATTTAAAATGTTTTATTAAAATATCTTTGAAACTTTTAGTTATATATACAGATTTTAAACCCTGAAAAAAAAATTTATGTGTTTTTTGATTTTAAAAATAAGGGTGAATGGGCAAATTTACTGATTATAATATCAAAAAAGAGCACTAGGTTCCATGATAAAATATTGGGGATAAAAATACACATGAACATTTTAAAATAAGGCAAAAATATCACCTCTGTTAATTAGAGCAAACGTCTATTACTTTTTTTTTCCCTTATGGGTTCCACTTATTCTTTGTATCCTTCTTTAGTCCCATGCTCTCTCGTCTTTGTGAACCCTTTCTTCCTCTCTCTTTCTTCTCTCCTCTCTCCCAATAAGGAATCAGAATTAATAAGTGAGTGAGTGATGTGGGGGTTTGATTGAAGTTAGAGTAAAGTCTGTTGGTCTCTTTAGCAGGTTGGGGGAAGATGAATTTGACCGTGAAAGCCATCAGTGGAGACAAGAACCGTGGGTGATTAATATGCTCGATTTTCATCATGAATCTCTGCTTGTCCTGACAGACATAAACGGCGAAGCAACTGTGCGAAACCACAGTAGTATGATATTTTTGGTGACGGCAAATATAGCTCTCCTGAATCTTCTAAAACCTTTTCCTTACAGTTTGCATCAATGACGCGAACGATACGTGCATATATGGGAGGAGAAAGCTGGAAAGGAAAAGAATAAAAAGGTTGAGAGACCATGTATGAAGATGTAAAGAGTTCCTTAATTTATATATACAGTGAGGGAAGTATGAGGAATTTGATTCAAACACAAATGTTGACCCATTTTTCTACATTTAGAATTTTCTTAACCGTATCCCACATGCTATTGGGTTTTGAATTGTGAATTATGAGGTAAAAATCATGAATTCGATCGTTCTAAATTTGGCATGTTATTATTATTATTCAATGGCAATCAATTAATTATATATGTAATATAAGTTTCTTATATTATCAATAGTTTTTTATATTATCAATATGAAATACAATATATGAAGCTAGACACAAGGAGTCATCTTTCGGTGGTGACAATGAGTGATGAGGTGGCTTCGGCAGTTCCGGTGGTAGGGAAGGCGGTAGATTCAGTCGCTTTAAGGATGCATGTGAAGGTCGGTTTTAAAGGGAAAGAGAGAAAGTATGAGAAGGGGTTAAAGTTGACTCAGGATGAGAGATAAGATGAAATAGACTAAGTAGGACTCATTAAAAAAGAGTAACGTTTGTTTAGAAAAATTAATGTAAATAGTATTTTTGGTCTGTTTTGAAAAGTTTATTAGTATTTTTGCACCTCACATTTTATTATGGTGCCCGGTGCTCCTTTTTGATATTACAATAAATTTGTCTCTTCATACAAAAATTAATCATAAGGGGTGAAAAATCAACTGGGAGAAATAAATAATAATTTTTATTTTAATTAAAGAGAGGGATTTCAATCATTTGACAATATTCAAAAATTCTAAATTAGGACTCATGTCCTAATTAGGAATTTATTAAAAGTGTGTGCCTAAGGTATTTCAATCAGATTTTATTGGGATTTTCCCTAATTTCATTCACATTTATCTTTTTTTGATTTTATGTAAATAAAATTGATTTTCGTATAACTCTGATACCAGCTATTTGTTTTATCTAAAGGCGAAAATTAGATTTTGAGAGAAAATATGAGAAAGAAAATTTAAATCATATATAGAAATATTTTTTTAATAAAGACTTGATCTAAAAATAGTTATTTTTGAGTGTCTTGATGAATTCCTTAATAAAGTGTCTATTCTTAATATCATGATAGATTGTGTTTCAGTTAATCTTATAGCAATTCATAATTTGTAATAATAAGTATTGCAATTCACATTCTGATTAATTAATCTTAAATAACTCGTGGCAATTTATACATACTTCATCTTGAAAGATTTTAAAATTTCTCTTTTTTTAATATAGATTGCATTGTTCCAAAAAATATATATTGATAATTAAACTATAATAGTCAAACACTCTCACAATAAATAATGAGGCTTTGTTTGTAGATAAGAAAATTTAAAAATACTAAGATAAAAAAATCCACAATACATAATATAACATTTTAAGCTAACTCTAATATATTGATAAGAAATTTATAGGAACATGGACTTTTTTTCCTTAATGGGAACACGGATCTTTCAGTTACCTGATTCCAACTTTATTAAATTAATAATTTTTTAAAGAATTTTTTTTCTTATAGTTAAAAAGTCAGAATCTTAATGTATTAATAGATTTTAGTGTCAAATTTGTCATTTCTTTCTTAATTGCTTTGCTATATCTGTCGTATAAATGTTCTCATCATGTTATATCTTATAGTCTCATTACTAAAGTTCATACTAATAATTAATATGAATTTGTACTAAAAATCTAAATAATGAAATAATATGAATTGCTTAATATAAATTTATACAAAAAAAATGCATTTTAGCCTTTTAATAACATATGGATACTACTCCAAGAACACATGAAGCTAACACATCACTTGGCAGCATCTAAAAAAAAGAAGAAGAAACTAGGTTATAAATTAATTGGTGCAATTACCACTTTGCTAATTTAAAAGGATATTTTAGTCTTTTAACCACATTAGAAAATTTCCAATAAGACTTCTTGGCCTAATTAAAGATTTGCTAAAAGTACAGGCCTTAACTTGAATTTTGATATTTCAATTAGATTTAATTAGGATTCTCCCTTAATATTAACATCTGTTACACATAAAAAAACAAGATCAAAATTAAAATTCATTAAAAGCATAAAGATAAAAATTAAAACTCATCAAAAATATAGAACTCAAAATAAAAACTCACTAAAAGTATAGGAGTCAAAACAAAAAATTATTGAAAATATAGAAAATAAAATTAAAATTTATTAAAAACATGAAAAGCAATTAAAATGCCTACCAGAAAACTATCTTGCCCGTGTAGCGCTAACATGTAGGTTCCGTCCCGCCTCTTGTACCTAAAAACAAGAAAATTTGATTTACAATATTTGAATTTTATGTAGAAATCAATTTTTTTATTGTTGAATTTATTATTAAAATTATAGGAGTAATGTTTTCAGAAGTATATTTGAAAAAACAACGAAACAAAATATAGGAATTAAACCCGTTATTTAACCGCGACACAATAAAATAAAAGGCAACTTTATTTTTGGCCTTGACAATGCAACTTGTTTACACAAATTCTCCTCTGAAGAAGAGGCAAATCAAACCTCACCGCAGCCCTGCATTATCCATAGTTGTTTGGGCTTAGGCACAATTATCGACGCCTAAAATCCCAAATTCAATCATCACAGTTCGGCCCCCTAACCTGAAAATGAAAAGAAATGGGGCAAAAAGGCCGAAAACCTTTGTAGTCTATATAGGCTATTGATTTCCGAAGCTGTTGAAATTTTTTGTAGTCGAATATTGTTGATCAATTGGTGAAGAGTATCTCGTTTGGATTTTGGAATTTGATTTGGGAATTCTTTGAGCTTGTTTTCTGTTGCTTGTTTAATGCCAATGCATCAAATTTGGCTGCTATTGCTCGCGTTCGAGTGAGTGAATCGTGTGCTTTAGTTACTGCTCACCCCAGAATCGCTCATCATCGAAGTTACGAGAAGCATTAAACAGAAATCGGGGTTTTTGGAGCTGAAAATAAAAAATTAGGTTTTGCGGTAATCCAAATATGTCGACGGGCAAACCTAAAGACGGTGACCTCCCGGTGGTTTCGGTGCCGGACAAGTCGAAACCGCCGCTTCCGCCGGCAACAGCAGTATCCAATGCACTTGTGGAATACACTCCAGTTGGTTTCAAGGAGGAAGAAGAGGACCTTGAGGTTAAGCTGCGACGTATTATCGATAACGTGCCCGTCCGAGTCAGCAACACGTCTGGAAGCTCTGCCGGTTCCGGCTCCGGTGACTTTCATCAGGTAAATCTTCCAATTAGTTTAGCTGTTCGAAGCACAGTAAAATTGTTCTTCAGATATTCCTTCCAGGACTTCTCTTTTGTACTCTAGTTGGTGCTGAGGGAGTTTAGTATGGTAGTGAGAATGCATATTACTGTTAGTAGTTGCTTAGAGGAAATGAAATTAACATTATAGTACTGATAATCGCTTAATATTATCCAGGCTAGTATAGCCTACACCGAATCTTCATGTTTGATGGCATGTGTAGCTCACCAAACCTGTCAATGAACCTATTGATGATAAATGCAAAGGGGCATTACGTCAATTATCCCCTAATAGAATGTAATATGTAGATCATAAAAGCAATTCAAAGTGATGCTGTAATTTTATCTACCACTTGACTCTTTGGTGAGGACTGATGTGCTGGTGATCAGGTTGATGCATTGGTGGAACACAAAATGTAAGGAGTTTCAGATAGGCACTGTACAGCAGTGGTAGTGTTATGAACTAAAGGTGTATATTAACATTTTGGTAGCTCATCTAGTAAATTGAAGAGATTTACCTTGTGATTGATTAGCACATAATGTGGCTGGCTGACGATATACAAGTGTTTGGGGATTAATATACAAAGTGTAGCTTCTACTTCAAAATGTTGTCCAAGAATGATAGACAGAATGAGTAGAATATAGAGTTCTATGGATAGCTGAGTAGTAGGAACTATTATATAAGATAAACTAATGATATTTATGCTGAATGGAAAAGGTAGGCCACTTATTTAGTATTCCTTCAGTCCTAAATGTAAGATCCATTTTGTAGTATAGTTTACACTGCAAAATAGGTTTTGCATTTAGGAATGGAGGAGTATTTGAATGTAAACCAATTGGGAACAACATCGATAAACTTTTGTTCTAGATGTGGATTCTCTGTGTTAGCCAGGGCTTTTTAAAGGGGTTCTTGATTTCTGCCACAGAAAGGGTGTGATTCTGCAAGGTTTCTTGGTTTAGATTTGTTTCTGAAGAATTTGAGCTGTGAAGTCTGATTTAGTTAGGGACTGGTGCTAAACCTTCCCCAAACCGACTAGGCCATGAAAACCCTCCCTATACATAGTTTGATTTTATTATCATTTGGTATTAAATGTGGGCATGCTGATCGGATCAAAATGATATGGACATGGACACATTCATACGTCAAACTCAAATATATAGCAACCATAACATGACATGATATACATATATCTTGTCATATCTGCTATATTCAAATCCTACTTCTTAATGCTTTCTGTTTAATGTTATACTTTTATTGAAGAATATGAACAGCGTTATCTTGTATTCTAAGTACCTTGCACTATTTTCCCCCAGGAAAATCTACCAGATAGAAAGATGTTGAACTGTACCGTTCAGATTATTTATGCACCACATGAACATTAGTGGAGCTGTAAATTCGGATTTCCTTGTTTATGGGGTCAGCTGTGTCCAGTGCAAATTTGAGCCCAAGAAAAGAGCTCCTTTTTTTCTTAGTCTTACATGTCTATGCAACGCGTCAAATACATGACAATGAGTGTGTCTGTGCTCTATAAATCCCGTAGTCCCTATTATATTCAAGCAGATGCATTAAAACGCTTTATGTGGTATATCCTTGCATGCATATGCTGATAGTTTATCATATGTTAACTTGTTGGGAAGCTCGAAAGGTAACAACTATGTTCTTATTTTCCCGTTTTCCTTAACTTCTTCCAACAGTATCGGCAGATGAGACGGAAAGAGCAAGATAGACTTGCGAGGATGGAAGTTGATTATCAGAAAAGGAAAGAACTGGCAGAGTTTACAATGAGGAGGGAGGAAAGGTTAAAAGCTGCTGAAGAGCGAACAGCAAAGAAGCGATTGAAACGTCAAAAGAAAAGGCAAAGAAAGAAGGAAAAGAAGAGTAAATCGAATACTGGAGAACAGCAGGAACAAAAAGAAGGATCTTCGGACGAGGGGGACTCAGATAATGACGAGGAGGCAACATAGTAAAGCATGCCTTGGCCGTACCTTAATGCTCTCGAAATATTGTTGTAAGCTACATCTTAGATGGCCACATTCATTTAAAGTTTTGAACATACAGTCTTGGGACTTGATTGAGTTTTCCAGGTATTGTATTTTGTTTTGAGATGAAATCTTTGTGAGACTAATGGAGGGCCATGGGATTGTGTAATTTTTGCCTCTACGTTTCCCACTTCTCGAGAACCACGACTGCGCTCTGTTGATTCACTCAACCTCTTTAGATGTGAAAAGAAATTTTGAGCACTTTGATGGATCATTCAAGTCAGAGCGTGCAAATAGTGAGAGTTTTTAACTTAATCGTAGTTTGCATAACAAAAATTACAACAAAAAAAAGGAATAAATTCACGATGCCGTACTTATTTTCCCTTTTCTGTTTATGCCGTAGCACTCATTTTCCATCTTAATAGTTCTACATGTACATAGCGGTGCAAAGATACAAAGCTCTTCAGTCAAAATTTTATTCCTCCTTATGGCTACAGAAACAGGTTCACCAAAGACTTAAAATACAATACACAACCGATCAATCGCCTAACAAGAGGATCTCACAACCCTCGAACTAATATAATAAAACATTCATTAAGGAAACAAACCCTAAAGAGTGAGGACATACTTCGGCTATAATTCACATCAAACACAACACAAGCCAAGCCTCACGCAAGCTTTGGGATTGGAATAGTTTCTGATGTTGGTAGCGTAACTGAACGCAACAATTCCAGCGAGAAAACAAGCCCCAGGAAATGAGAAAGGATGGTGTTTGCTGAAGCCTGTAGATCAACCAAGAATTACAACGATGTAATAACAAATACCCAAATTATCGGCTTAAATGCTTAAAAGATACCCATGTTTCTTGAAGACTAGTTCCGAAAGGCATCAATAAAGGGACAGAGTTCAGAGCGGAAATTTCTGTATCATGTTTATAGGATTCAAGGACCAGACTTAAAATTGTGCACTAGACTTGAGAATAAATCCCACCAAAAAATAAACTGCAAATGGCGAATGCAGAAAGGATTCTTGAGATCAAATCAATGTGCCATACCTGCACTAAAAAGACATCCAGAGCAAGGACAGGGCTGAATCCAGGAGACATCCCTGAGTAATATGGACTGGCCGAGGAAGTGAGAGCCTTTCCAACCAAAGCTCCAACTGTGGCTTGCATGCCAAGAATAGCGGCGCCCATTCCCAAGAGGTTCAACACTATACCGTTTTTCAAACTTTTCACAACATCAGCACGAGGAGGGGCCTGAAAGCTCAAGTAGGAAGTAGTGAGGGAGAGGACGGAATAAGAACTCACTATGAAGACAAGGACCACCTAATATCACCATCTATGACCAAAGTCCGCAAGTTAAAGCAATATATTATCGCAAACACACAATGTAAATTGTGGTGATCTATCCAGATAGCTCTATTTCAAGTCCTATAAATAAATTGTTGAACATAACACAATTAATTCAATATGGATATTATGGCCTATGGGCAAACAGTAAGTGCATATCAACTTGAGGACCCATTTAACTTAAAACTTCAAGAAACTTCAAGATATCATGAGTTTAAGTAGAGAAAACAACAGAATTCATGTCCAGCTTAATGTCAGTGACTTCTCGATCATCTCACCATGACTGACAGACCTTGACACTGTTGGGATGCACCGATCCTTCTGAGCACGAGTTGAGGTTGGAGAAATTTAAATAGGAACGAAAATCTTGGAAGTTTGTTAATGTAAGTATTGACAGATTTACCGGGATCGAAGTTCAAAGTTAAAGGCTAATGCACTTTCTTAGTTCTCAGTCTTTTTTCATTCTTTACTCCCTTGGAGAGGAGCATGTAACACCAGCATATGTCATGACAGATATGATAGCACTGATGTTCGTGTTTGGAACACAGAAAAGGAATTGTCGAGTAAAAATCATTCTGAAACTCAATTTAGTGAAGGGCTGTAAGAAAATGTGGGAAGGCAACAAACGACACTCCACAGATATCACTAAAAACGACAATTACAAAAAGCATCCAAGAAAAGAAAATTGGATTTAAAACAATTTTATATCATGGTTGAGCGTTGTTGACATTGAAATTCATGCACAAGAGTCAACAGAGATCCACCACTGAAAATGACTTCAATCTTGAGAACTTCAAAAGCAGCTCAAAATCAGTAATATAAACACTACCTTTGTTGGCTCATTGGCAGTTCTTCGAAGCTTACTTGATAGCCGAATATATCTGAATGACCAGAATACAGAAATGAAAGCAGCCACTAATCCACCAGAGGTAGCATAAAAGGTTGCCGGTGAAGTAACCTTGCCTGTGATAACAACGGAAAATGATAGTATGACAGCAGCCACCACCGTGCAGGCTAGCTGGCCCCAAAATCCTAAACTTCCCAAACGCTTAAAATACCTCGCTGTCTTCTCTAGCCTCTTTGAAACCTACAACAACGAAATCAAGCTTCCGCTGTGGTTACATATAAAAGATAAGCAATGCCAATGCGAAGAGCATTTTTTCTTAAAAAAAGTTCTACTCATTTTCAAGAACATTAACTTAAAGGGATCAGAAGGAAAGTTTTATGAACTGAAGTTACAAGAGACGTTTAGACTTTGAAAGGAAATCACTTCGCTCACAGTATAACTCAGAATCATGCGGAAGTCAACTCATTGAGCACACGCAAGGAATTCACAAACCCCCATTTCAGATAGAGAGAGAAGAGGATGATGAGAAAGAGAGAGTGCCTGAGCAAGTTTTGCTTCTTCTGATTCATGATCGGCCGGAGTGGAAGGGGAAGAACCTTGGGAATAAGATTTTGCAGAGAAGGAGAGTTTCGCTGGTCCATAAAGAGCATCGACAAAGCAATAAGGAAAAGAAGATGAACATGACGTCGAAGGTTGACGAGATTGAAGAAGGATGAGAGACGGTGGGGAAAAGCAATTTCGCCGCAAATTTAGACGGTAGAGATGAGGAGCTGAGCCGGACGAAGCCTCCGCCGAATCCGCAGAGGCCACCGTGAAACTGCCGACGGAAGCCGGCGGTAGAAGTAGCGTCTGCATTACAAATGAAAGAAGCGAGAGCCGGCAGAGTGGTTCGTCAGTCACTTCGGAAGTTTCAGATTTTTCAGCTCGGACTCGTGTTGGTAAGTAGCCGTGAGTGGGCAGTTTGGGTTGGAGAATAAAGGCCCAATCATACCAGTAAAATCAATAGGCCCAAAACTTGAACTCAACTGGATGAGCCCGTTTTCTGAGCCCATTATGGTCCAGATGAATGATTCTCATGAGAGTTGAGCCCATTATGTACCCAACACAGTCCTTCCGTTCTATTTACAAGACATTTTGAGCATCTTTTTACAGAAATCATGGAAGGCCTGAAAATGCATTAACTTCAACTAAAAATTAAAAATCTTCAAGTTATCATCAAGTTGTTGGTTGAGATGCTAAGCAGTTTCACTCTTATAAGGAGGAGAACACAGGTTGGAATACCAAGAAACATACTTGTTGGAAGGGTTTTAACCTTAACACTCTCGATCTGATGGAGATTAGTCTCAATTTCAAAATGGCTTGAAGACACTCTCAATTATATTCGGAAAAAAAATCTCTAAGTTTGCATATGTTAATTGCATGATTGTGAAACTGACGACCCTCACTGGGAAAACATAAATACAGTATATTGAATAAAGGCAAAATAGGGGGAAAAATTAAAGTAACAAATAGCCGTTTGATGCTTTATATAAAGTAAAAAGGGCCAAAGAAATATAAGTGTTAAAAAGTTATTAGTAGTATGTGCAGAATTATACATAAAGTAATGGCACCAAAGAGAGTAGTGTTATAAAAGGGGGAATTCATTTTAGACGCTCATCATCAAATCGTCCCGTGTAGATCAAAATCAGACGGTCCATATATTTAATATGACTTTATTTTGATATGTCTAATAGTTCAATACTTCAATGTGCACAAAATCAAAAATAAAGATTATCTATTAACTATCAGTATTTAAAAAATAATTATTTTTATTTAAAAATTATCAGTTGAAAATTTTAAACCTTGACAGTAGAAACTGTTTCTGGATTATACGGATCTCATTACTATGATCAATAGCGTAATACCACAGTGTTTAATATAAAAGTTACTTAACTAATTTAAGTAAATTAAAAAAATTAGTAAAGTTGACAAATATGAGTTGATTTTTTTAAAGTTAATTATGACTATTACTGGATGTCAACTCTTAAACATATATGTGTAATCAATAGGGATATTTTAAAGAATGAATTACAAATCTGAGAGATAAAATTGATTAAGATATTATATTTATGATCAAATTATATTCCCAACTAGCTATTATATTAAATACGGAAAATGCAGTATATCAACATTCAAACTGATTCCATAAAAAGTAGCTTGTTGAGGAAGGTTTTCCGTTGGGGTTGGGAGGGAGGGAGTGTGAAGGGATGTGTAATGCGGAAGGAAAACACAGAAAAGAAGGTTACGACTAATTCTAAAGAGAAAAAAGGCAAAGGATTCTGAAGGGTGTTATCATGATTCGTTTGAACTATGAGGAGCAGAGATATGGAGAAAGAATGAAATGGAGAAAAAGCAAAGGTCCTTCGTCTTTAGAATATCTGGTGCATCCCATTCCTACGTACGTTTTCTTTAACTCTTTTCACAGGACAATGCTGGTGTGCTGCCCACCGAAAGGAGATTTTTTCCCAAAAACGGCTCACCCTTTTTTTTTTTTTAAATACTGCTTTCTCTTTTTCATGAATACTAAATAAACTTAATTTGTGCACATTTATTTGTAGAGGAGACACAATACCGATTACTATCCCACTAAATATTTCTATTTTTTATCCTTAATATAAAAATTAATTAAGAATTATATTTGATTTAAAATATAAGACCTTAATTCATTTTGTCTTTCAAATTTATAATTTCTTCCCCAATGTATCTTTATTGATTATATGTTAAGAGGTTTTTATCTAATAATAATCATGATTAAAATGGTACTTTAAAAAATCAAGTTATATTTATTACAAGTAATTAATTTTTGTAATATACTCCCTCCATTCCTTATTATAAGAAACATTTTATGCTTATAGCATGTTCCTATATATAAAAGACATTTAAAAGTTGTCTCTACTTTTTTGTGTTAATTTCCTATTTTACCTATATTTATTGTCTTTAACTCACACTCTTTCTCCTTCCCACTTCTCTTTCTTTTAATAATTTACTATTGTTCTCTCTCATGCTCTCTCTCTTTATTAATGAGGGTATTTTTGGGAAAAAATTATACTTTTTACACATTGATTGTTTTTAACTAATTTTAACTGTTTTTTTAATCAACGTAATTCGGTTATTCGTCTCTTATAATAAGAAACGGAGGGAGTATTTAAATTAGTTAGGTTGATTTTCTATTAAGAAGGGGATAATATTACAAAGTACAGCTTTCATGTACTCTTTATATGTTTATTAGGGAAAAAAAGTAACATTATTAAAAGACGATGATATCTTTCTTATAAAATTGAAGTACTGAAAGAGTTTTTTTTATGTTGATTAATAAAATAACTGACGTAATAATTAAACTATCACTGTAGGGGTGGTTTGGGAGTCCTCAAAAACACTTAAAAAAAAGTGTATTTATGCAAACAGTGATAAAATTTATCTCGTATACTTATTTCAAATGTCGTAAAGTTATTTTGAAAAAGTTAATTCTAATAACTCATTTGAGGATAAAGCAACGTGGTATTTATTTTTAGCGAGTCTTAACTAAAAGCGACCAACATAATAACACATTTTAAAATTTAATGAAAATAATTGCCCCATTAACTTTTAATTTCTTTTGTTGGCATTATTATATGCATATCCAGCTTCTAAAATTTATAAAAACTTTATCTTATAGGAGTATTTATACACGCGCGCGCACATATATATATATATAAGTATATTGTGTAACTGTTCCCTCAAAAAGTTATAATTTGCCCTTCAAGTTGTTAGAAATTTTAACACAAACTTTTTAGATATTTGAACTCTGGGATTGCCCCTCCCATTAAAATTTGAAGCCCCTGAAAATCTAATACTCTTATGGTCCTTAATATAAGACCTATTTAACTAATTTGGTTAGATTAAAGAAGTTAAGTAAGTTAGTTAATTATAAGAAATGTGATTCATTTTTTCTAAAGCACCATAATCATTTTTCTTAATACCCTCTCTCCATCTTCTATTTGATTATGGTTGAGGGAGTATCTATAGGGGTAATTTAGAAAAAATTGATAAATATAAGAAATAGGTCTTATATTTAGGACCAAAACCAATTTAACAATTAGGTCTTATATTAAGGAGCGGAGGAGTACTTAGAAAAAAATTGTATATTCATGCATGTATCTGGAAGCAATCCTCATCATCTTCTGGTAAACCTGATGAACAAAGTTTGCGTAGGACTATTCCTTATATGATCCTCGTACACCTCGTCATCAAACTTTGCCTAACATACCCCCATTCAATGATGTCTCTTTGTGAACATAACATACCCTCAGGCCTCTATCCACGCGTATCTTTCTCGTGCTTCCAAGTAATTGAGTTTGAGTGCCAATATATCTTTTTTAATTAAGAGAATAATGATGATTAATTATACAGTTAATCATGATTTGTTGTAGTTAGTTATCTTAATTACTAAATGATTTGGTCACTATTACATGAACCCTGTAATTAAATGTGTAAATCAATTGTAATATGTCTTATATTTTTTACTTTATTAATAAAATAAATTCTTAATCTAAGAACTATTTAATTAATTTGAGTAGATTAACAAAACTAAAAAAAAATAACTTGATTTTAACAAATATGATATGATTTTTCTAAAATATTCTTATATAAGTGTATCATTAGATTGCATATCGCTTTACAAGGTAAATAAATTAGTTTGATGAAAATGATAAATATAAAAAATTGAATAGATTAAAGTATTACATTTAGATAAAAACCGATTTCTTAACCACCTCATACATTTAATAATCAATGGGTGATTTTTTTAATCATGATTTGATTACGTTGTTAATAAAACTAAAAATCTACCATATGTACAGTCACGAGACAAATAATAGTCAATGACGATAGGCAGATGGCTAGGGATGGAAGGACTTGAAAGTTGAAACCCGTGACATTTTGTATCCTTGACAAACATGCTCACAAGCTGTGCTATTCCCCACTCAATTACTTTATAAAGAATCTTTTACCTTTGTCTTGTTAAACAATAATAATAATAAACACCTGTATGCATCTGCAATCTTTGGTACTTTGGTACAAGAAAAGCGCAGACAAGAAAAGAGAAAAGATAATACGTGGGTTCAGGAAGGAGTCGGACTCTCTCGTCAAAGGAAGGGGTTCGATCATGAAGAGTGTCACTTTGTTATGATTCCAGTCGCAGTATTGGAGGAGGCATCTCTACAGCTTAGTGCAGTTGGGTGATTCCTACCTATTGGGTCAGGAAAAAAAAAACTTGCTTGTCATGCTCCTGTACCCCATAGGGACAGGCCCCAGTAAATCAAACGTTAGGTGTCCTATCCTGGGTCGTGAGTGAGCCCGACCCCTTTCCTAAAATTCATTTCACCAAAAAAAAAAAGATAATCAATTCAAAAAATTAGAAAAATGAGGTTAAAAATTTTAAATTAATTTTGCTTGCTTTTTTATTTTATATATTTTTTTATCAAAATTTTATAACTCTATTTTTTAATTTTTTAAATTAAGTTCATTAAAACCTTTTTTCTTCCTTTCCGTTCCCTTCCAATACCCTCATACAAAAGATGGACTTTTTTTTTCCCCCGGGAATGTTGAAAATGAGAAGGAAGGTACCTATTTTCTTTTGTTAATATATACACACATATAAAGTAAATCGTTATGGATTTCAATCTGAATTGATTAAGAATTTATCATTTGAGAATCATGCGGTCAAGTTACAAGTGGTTGTTAATTAAATAATTACATGGCTGGTCAAAAAAATAAATAAATAATTACATGACCATATTATTCATATGTGTAATATTCCAACAAATAAGCTGATCACTGTTCAGATG